TTATTCCAAAAAAGTTATAAAAATTCAATGGAGTCAGAAAATTTCTTCTTTTGTTTTCTTACATAAAATGTAAAATTACGAAAAAATTATATTTTTCTTTCCTTTCTGACTTTTGGATAATATAAAACTTCAATTTTTCAAAAAAACAAGCCAATAATGACTATAAAATCTTTAAAAAACAGAGTTTAAAAAGGTATAAAAAAGAAAATAATCTGCAGAGAGAAAAAAATTTTTATTAGCACAAAATCTACGTACGTTTTATATTATCCAAAAGTCAGAAAGGAAAGAAAAATATAATTTTTTCGTAATTTTACATTTTATGTAAGAAAACAAAAGAAGAAATTTTCTGACTCCATTGAATTTTTATAACTTTTTTTGGAACAAAATTAAGGTTTACATTGATGAATTGGTCTTCTATTTATACTATTTTAGATGCGGCTTTTTGCGTTTTTGATTGCGTTTTAATAGGGTACGTCAAGAGAATGTACACTAAGAAGGAATTTTTCGAAATTCCCCCGCGGGAGTGTTATACATTTATAATACATTTTGAGCCACAGTAACGCGTGGCCGGGTATAGCTAGTATTAGAATAAATTCGTAGTAAACAATATAGTAATATAATTTTTCGTAATTGTAAGAGAATTAAAATCATAATAATAAAAATATTAACTTGAAAATATAGTTTCATCATTAAAAGTATAATTATACTGATTTTCCCAATTCCAAGCATTGTCTTTATTTATATTAGATAAAATTCACTTATCGGAAATGTCAATTCGTTTTGGTGATAATAAAAACTTTTATCCTGTTTTATTTTTTTTATTTATCATAAATTAAGCAAAAATCGACTTCACTATAGAAATGCATAAGATGTATTTACCATGGCTGCAATGGAACTACAATTCGTCACCTTGCGTGTCTCCATTAAAGAACTTAATGTGTCATCATTTACGTATTGAAATATTCAATTAATTGTTGCAAAAATCTCTTTAATTATTGTGTAATTAGTTTAGTCCTTTGCTACAAATCCTCAATTTTTAATTTTAACAAACTAATTAAACGAAAATTAATAGAAATCTTAATATGCAATGAAACCTATGGCTCTTGTGACGTATCCTTTAGCAAACCATTTGTTTTACAATAAATACATAATAAATGAAAATCTATCGTTACGTTTAACGAGATACAGCGACTGGCAGCCTGCCTCCTGCCCAATTGCTTAAGGATTGTTTAGCCATATAGCCCAATAAAGAATCCGGTTGTTCGTTTGATATTTATATGTTCTTCATTAGAAATCTTCAATTGTTTCAAGTTTAAAATAAATAAATATATAATGTATGAAACCATTAGTCGAGCATTATAACAAATATTATTCTCGTATGACGCATTGAAAAATACATATTTCATTATCTCTTCTGATAAGTTTGACGCATCCGTGACGCTGTACTGTGCCCAACAGATTATTCTGAAGATACAAACGAGTTCGTCTGTATCCCGCGATAATGAATGTAAGTAAATGATCTTTTTTATTCTTTAAACACTTCATAATTGTTTAAAATCATTTTCTATCCATTAATGTTCAATTATACTTCTTATTATTTGTGTTAAATATAAAGTAATTATGAGACAAAATAACAGTATAAATATCTATATATCAGAGCCGCGCTAGATAAGAATAGAATTAAAAGTACGATAGAAAAGTCTACGCATTAGGTGAAACAATGGAAATTGAAACAGAATATAATTATATGAACGTAAGAAGGATAATAAATGAAATTGTGAATTACAGGACACTTCAGAAAAATGTGTAGCGTGGAAGTAGCTTGCTATGTGGATTTGTAACGGTTGCTTTTTCTCTTCGCAGTTCCCCTTTGTGTGAAAGCAGTTTTTATCCGATTGTAACAATCAGAAAAGTGCAGCCTTACTATTTTTACAATTCCCAGACCCTTCAAATAAGACATCGATTGTATTTACCGCTAAATAACAGACGCCATCACCCATAACCTAACTTACGAAAACAAAGTCCCACCTTCAATATTACGAAAGAATGAATTACGTAGGAAATATTTTAAAACGAACACAGAGAATCGGTTTAAATACTCTTTCAGAGGACAAATTTTGACCGTAGTCATTGAATAAAGACTGATAAGGGACGTCCATAAATTACGTAAGGGCGATTTTGGCCATTCTAGACCCCACCCATCCCTGTGTAAGAAACCGTAAAATTTTTTATCCCCCCTTCCCTATTCTTACGTAATATTTAGGCATGATTTTATAGAAAGATTTTAACAAAAAATAATTTTTTTATGAAACCCTAAAAACCTTAGGTCCAAAATATATAATTATTAATTAGTTAATTAATATGTACTATTATTTATAAAAGACTTTATGTGAACAAATTTAAAAATATAAAAATTTAATGAATTCGAATGAACAATTTATTTTAAGAACTTTATTTTTTAATTATTAACAATCTTTTATTTATTATTATTATCATCATTAATCAACGTCATAATATTCATTTTTATATTAATTTTAATTTTCACAAAAGGACGCAAAAAACTTTGACAGATCGACAAGCTAGTGCACGTGTAAACAGAAACGTCATACAAAATAAAACAAGAGAGAATAGAAACCACATTTCGTTGCCATGTTAATAAGGTCAATAAAATAAACTACGTGCTGCTAAAATGTGCTAGGTGCACCTTGGGACTAAATCATAAAGCTTGTAAAACTTTATATAAATGGGGCAATACAACCAATGCTACTTTACGCGGCCTCTAGTTGGGGTCATGTAACTAGTAAAAATTCAGTAGCAAGTAAATTACTCTCTTCAAAGACAGTTTGCCATCAGAATTTCAAAGTGCTGCATAACCGTTTCTACTAATGCCTCTGATACTAGCAGAGCTCCTTCCTTCACCACTATGTATTGAAGAAAAGGTTCTAAATTACTACATCAGAACTACAAACATTAAAGCTCAACAATGGTCTCTACTCCTATCTACAGCTGTTTATAAGCTACCATACTGCAATTACCCTACTATCTCTCTCTAATCATCACCCTGTAAACAAGGTTATCCCCAGGGTACATTTGGTGTCATCTGCTTCCTCCATGGATAACCATGCAGACATTAATATCTACACAGATGGGTCTAAAAGCTCCCTTCATGTCGGCTCAAGTATCTGTATCTTCCTTCAAACTGACATATTTTGCCCAAAATATATTAAAAGGTACAAATACTTCCCACATACCTCCATCTATCAAACTGAAGATGATGCTAACTACCAAGCTTTGCCACTTCACTACCGAACAAAACGCTATCCACATTTACAGTGATTCTCAGTCTGTCCTAATAGCTCTATTAAATCCCAATTGCAATAGCAATAAAATCACATATATCTAGCACTATATTAAAAATCTTGTAAATAAGATAACTTTTATATGTTTTCCTGGCCATTCTGGCATACTTAGCCTCAAATTCGACTTTTTCATTTCTAAATCAGCTACAAAGGACACTGACTTGGACTACACTCACATCCCTCTCTCACGTAGCAGCCTTAAAAATTATATTCATGACAACGCTATGAAAAAGTGGAATCAACAATGGTTGAACAGTTTTACTGCTCAACCATTAACAAGACTTTCTTTTCTTAGTGTTGAACGCAGGTTCTCATCACCACTTAGAGATTTAACATTTGCTACTGCTCAACTACTTACTGAGCATGATAATTTTAGAAGCTGCCTGGCGATATATAACCGGGAAGAAACTGCCTCTTGCTTTGCTCTTCTTCTTCTTCTTGGAGCCATATCAGATTCCTGACGTCGGCGACACCTGGCGTAGGTTAGTAACCCGCCAAGGTGTATACTAGGGAAAGTTACTACCCAGAGTGGTTTCCCGTTGCCTTCTCTGGGGCGCGAAGTTACGCGAGGGGAACTAATGCGAGGGGAACTAATGCTTTGCTCTACAGAAACCTAAACATTGTCGACCATATGATCTATCATTGTCCGATTACGATCAACATACACTTATTCTGAAATTAGAAATCTTTACGCTTGGTTTCAGGTGGCCATGTCCACTCGATAAGCTTGTTCAGAAGCCACTATTTGGTGCCTTTTATAATTATGTTCAAAAAACGTGGAAGAAAAGACTATTTACAATTTCTAATACTGTATCTACTTTTACATTTTAGTTTTCACTAAAAGCCAAATATTAATTTTGTTTACTTTGTATCATGTATTTTGGTTTATGTATTCTTAGTGTTATACACCCATAGGAGTGGTGCACTTATTCTAATAAAAGAGAGAGAGAGAGAGAGAGAAACCACCACACGGCCTTTCTTCCATGAAAATAACGTATAGAGCATGAGTCTGCTAGCGTTATTATTTTATCACGTCACACGAGATGGCTTTAGTACAACGAACGTTCTTAATAGAAACGGGCAACTTGTAGTCAAAAATTCAAAACTCCACCACTCATCGAAATCAAAAAATAAAAATAAGAATATTACGTAAGACGAGATCTATTACCCCTACCCCGAGTAAGAAATCGTAAGAAATCCTTGACCCCCACCCACCCCAAAATACCTTACGTAATTTATGGACGGCCCCTAATAGGAATGGGGAGGAGGGCGGGTTGTAAAAACTGAACATATTCATTAGAGAGGTTGCGGACAAAGTTCAAACGTTAAACATGTACGGCAAGCAGAAGTACACGTTTGACGTTTGAACTCCAAGTAAAACACGTTGCGCCACACGTTCACGTCGCGCACTGATTCGTGGGATATTGTTGAAAAATGGCGGAAACGTTTAACAACGATGAATGTTACCAGAGAAGGTAAATAAACAAATTAAACTATTTTAAAATATTTATAGTATGTTTAATAACACTTAATAATTATTTTTTACCCTGTTGTCATGACATACTTTTGTTGAGGGAAGTAGTGGCTGTAAATCCGTATGAGGATGAAAATCCGAAAGCTGCTTGGAAAAACACAGTATATCTGGAAATTATCGTTTATGGCCACTGAATATGGCCCTTTGATGTGTTTTTGGTCGACAAATAGGACGTGCCGTTCCATCTATGAACCCCCAAAGGAGCACCCTTTGCTGTTATTACTTGGCTAAATAATTTTAATTTTTTTCTTGTTGGTTTTGTTTTGTCGATATTCAATAACAATTTGGAATGACTATTGTAAATATATGTATGCTGCATATATTTTTTGATATTTTCATATTCCTAACGCAAATTTGAGGGTTTTTGTAATCCATCGTATTCTTCTCTTTATAATGACCGGTTTAAAATACAATATGGCCACCGGCATGTACTGTACCTCCGAATAGCAGACACCTCTAAATAACGAATAAACTTTTAAGTCACGACGGTGTCCGCTATACTGTAGTACAATTTACATATAGCACACATAGCATATAATATTGCATTTAGTACAGTTTACTATGTAACTTATATACAAGGTATTTACTGTATGTACTACACATTACTGTTTGTGGAAACTATAATTCTTATACAGAATGACAGAACTATAAAAATTATATCTTTATAAAAGCTATGGCCACTAATAGCCTTGACATTCCAATTCCAACATTTTTTTCTAAGTTACAATTATTTGAATAATAATAATTTTATAATTAATTTAGTAATCATAATAGAAATTTTCAATCGAAAAGTAATAAGGCAAATCTTATTTAAAATAATTCAGAATAAATTTATCATAATAAATCTCTCCCAAAGCAGGCAGATGGTGTTGAATAATGACTGTTAAGACGCCATTTGGCTGTCAACGATCATTATTCAACGCCACCATGGCCACGACCGAACTCCCAGCGTTCAGGGAGTTTTTCTCCCTGAACGCTGGGAGTTCGGTCGTGGGTTTGCGCCTGGCCAAGACGGGCTGGCCACGTGGAGTTTTCTGTGTTTTCTCCACGTTTGTAACGCCTGAATAGCGGCCACTTACCCTTAAAAGACCTCCCGGAAGGCATTATTCCCCGCGTAACGACTATCATAAACGCATACAACTAATATTACATGACAATTACGTCACACTTTACCACGGGACGATATAGCCTAGAAGGACATGCCCAACTAGCTACGACAAGACAAAACGCCATTTTGTTCTAAAGGCGTCAAGGATTAAATTTTGATGATTTATTGAGAATGAAATATTTTGTTTTCGAGATTTTAGACTAGTAGCAGTATAATATTTGACGTCTCTTATCTATTCTGTTCTTTCATTTTTCATATGAATAAACTAATACTGTATCTTTTTTGTGTAGATTAATACTCAAACCGCACCGACCTATATAACTAACGTGGAAGTAAACTCGCAAAGGCCGAATTTAGATACATATCGGAAAATATTCGGATGTTCTGTTTGTTTAATCATTTTTGGATTTTTTTTCTTAATCTCGGGATCAATTGTGACAGGATCTTCTTACGATTCTCGATTTAGCGATCCTTTCTTTACAAGAAATAATCCGTTGCGGCAAGTGGGACCAACTTTGTTGGCTTTTGGAGTACTTTTCATCGTAACATCAATAATTATTTGCTGTATAGCAAAAATTAGTATGAAGAGGGTTTTAAATCGACAAAATGCTGCTCCTTCTGCTCCTCCTCTTCCATATCCTCCAGTCGATTTCAGATCTCAGATGTTGGAGAACGATACTTCTCGTAATCCACCTTACGTGCTTCCAATCGAACGTCGTGGAACCATCGATGATCAGCCACCGTGTTATCGTTGTGTGATGCAAAATATTAAACCTTCGGATTGCAGACATTACAACTATGGTGCATGTTGAATTGTGTGTCCAACATTAGATCTTGATTTGACGGCGTGACAATGACCAGATGTGTGGTCATTACACGGGCACGTTTCGTAAGGAACCGGCCGAATTTGCAATGATTCAAAAATTAATAAACGATAAAATTTTCAAAACGGGTATTCGGCATCGGTCACAATCAAGTAATTTTCGCTTTCCCGATACATTAAATGACTTTAAGTGCTACGAAAATTTCGGAGAAGATGTGAAGAGAAAAAACATCTGATTTATGTTTACGTAGATTTTGTGCACGTTAACACTGATTTCAATTAAATTTTCTGTTTTTATATAAAAATCTATTTAAGGCTGATTGTAACCTTTTGAGTTACGCACGCGATTTACATTTTAATACGCCAATAAATTATTATGTTCGTGAAATTATGAAGTGTTGTAACTTAATCATGTCTTTAAATTAATTATGAGAAACTTCAACTCTAACGGTACATGACTCACATTTATTTCCGTTTTAGTTGTTGTCTAACGAATATGCAGAATGGCGCAAAAGTTAGTTAACTGGGAGAGTAATTATTTCGCGATATTTTCACTAGCAAGTAAAATATTATCGCAATTAATCCATTCCCAATTCTGGGATCGTGTTAATAAGTTAAGTTAACAGATCTTGACTTTGAATTAATTCTTGTTCTTTTATATGTACTAATAATAGTCTAATCAGCGACCACTGGTTGAGTTTTTCACGTGTCTAACACCTAAGTAACTTCGTCGAGGACTTTCTATTGAACAATTTTCTATAAAAAGTCCTCACCGAAGTTATCTTTTGGCAGATCACTCTCGTATTGCGTTGCCTTCCTTGTTTAATTAATTCAATCCAAGTTCTTTTTTTGAAAATGGCCATTCTAATTAACACGGATAATCGAAAGTACACTGTTTCCTCAAAAGCTTCGGTATTTATTTGCGGTAATTATTGTAACCAGAGGGTCGGCACCTCTTTGGAGCCGCGTCAGACTGACATTACCGTGTCTCTTTCGACACAGAAGTCAGTCTGGCATCCGTCATCCATCCGAAACTCATGGAAGAAGTCCATCCGAAACCCATAGTTTTGGATGGATGGTGACGAGACAGCTCAACGGAAGTAATGCACTCAGATACTAGGTTTAACAAACAAATAATCGTTTAATTCCAAAGAAAAAGAGTACATGATATATTTTATTCTGAAACAAAATTTACTGGCCGTAGATAGTCGCGAGAAAGAGTTTACAATAAATCGCGTGTTGTCGTAAATACTGGAGTTTTATGAGACCCTCTAAAAGAACAGGTGAATGTGATAGTTATATTGTCCGTTTCTTCGTATATCACTGGAAATGATAGGACTACTTACCGACTCTTCACCGTTCAGGAACCATCAGTTTATAGTGTTTTTATATGGGTCGATTTCGAATAATTTTGTGCTTTGAAAGTTTAAATTTTCATTGTAAAAATCAGTCTGTTAACTGATTTTTGCATTGTTACTATTCCTTTTATCATAGCTTTTAAATCATAATATAAAATATTCATATTAATTTATTTTTATAATAGGCTATGATTAAAAAACATTCCAAAAATCAAAACAAATTTTGGGGCCAAAAGGACCGAGTTTTCTGTAACGCTATGCAACTTGCCCGAGATATCTCGGGATAAGGGCTTAAGGAGGCTTTGAAACAATCGAAATATGCCTGATATTAGCAAAAAATTTTCGAGCAAGAATGTAGGCTCACCAGTGGCCAAGCTGTTTTCGTACCCTGAACACTGGGAATTTGATCGTGGGTTAGCATCTCGCTCGGACGGACTGGCCACGTGGAGTTTTCCGGGTTTTCTCCACGTCTGTAACGCCTAAATACGGGTCAGTTTCCCTTAAAAGGCATCCCCATAGGCAGATCGCCCAAGTATAGCGTTGCCATAACTTAACAAACAAATATCGAGCAAGAATGGTCCACAAATTTTCAATCGGATTTATGTCCAGACGTCTTGCCGGCCACTTCATAACTTAAATAATATGATTTTCGAGCCACTTAATTGTTGAGTGCGATCAATGAGCACTGGTATTGTACTGTTGGAAAATCCAATCCGGTTCTCCAATTTTTTCTTCAATAGGTAATAAATTACATTTCAGTATTTCTTGACAGCTTTTAGGTGTCTGTCTACCAGTTAAAATCACTAAATTTGATAAACCATTAAATCCAAAGCAACTCCACACCATAACATAACCACCACCCTGTTGCCTGTTGAAAAAACTGCTCCTCTTTTCTAATATCATGCCATTATTGAGACCATCCAAATTAAATTTCATCACTGAAAAGAACTGAGAACCATTGGTCATTCAACAGCGTGTGATCTTTATTTAGCCCACTGCATTCTTGCCAATTTGTGTTGTTTCGTTAGCAGTGGTTTTTTTTTCATTAGAGCAGTAAGTTTCATATATGAAGCTGTTGAAATTCTTCGATGAACAGTGCTTTTTGATAATTTTACTGATTTATCCTGTTGTGATTCAAGGCGCATCATCGCTTTGAGACATGATTTTGGGTCTTCTTAATCGATGTTTAGAAGGTTTTGGTGATGACTTTCCGAAAATTTTATAAATTCCAGGAGTGGATCTGTTCATTAAAACAGCAGATTTTCTTTCCTTACTTCTAAAACAGTTTAAAATATATATACCTGTATATATATATATATATATATATTTTTTTTATTACTTTTTCCGTCCCGTGTGCACCGAAGGCCTTTATTCTTACCAAGCCCATCATGGATTCGCCAAGCCCACAATAAAACTGCTAGTCAAAGAGGGAGGGCCGATATAGCCACACGGACCACCAATCAAAAAATTCCTAGGGCTTTTACACCGTCCGGATTCGATCCAGCAACCCCAGAGCGGTTGGTTGCCACCTTTAATTAATTAAAATAAATAAAATCACACAAGAACGCATATTTTAATATAATAAAAGACGATAAATTTAAATTTTTGGAAATATTTTATTCTGTATCACTTCAAATTTTACATTTCTGTACAGGCGTGTCAGAATTCTATCGGATCAAAGAAAAATAACTGACTTATTCTGTTGTCCTAAACTAGAAATGGAAAACCATTTTGAGTTCAGGTGCCATATTGTAAGAATGCTCATCTCTAAAAATGTTTTTTCATGGCGGAGTTTTTGATTTCGCCATGAAAGAAACATTTTTAGACTTCGAATAACAATGTTTAAATAAATGAAACGAATATGTTGTAATTACAATAAATGTAATGAAGCTGATTGAAAAAGGATGATCGGGCGATAAACCAAAATCGTATGATACGTTAAGTGCCAGATAATTTCTCCCGTAGAGCCACAGGTTGGCCACTCATGTTCTATACAATCGACTAGTCGAAAGTCTACAAATCGATTGTGCCTAACACTAATCAAAAGCATAATTTCAATTTCCGAGCGTTAAATGGACGAAATCCAAGGAAATCAATTAGAAATCGTTTAGATGTTTATATTGGAAATTCAAAAACACATAAATATTTGTATTTATCGACGTTTCGACCAAACAAATTAGTTTTTAATCGAATTTAACGATATTCCGTCGATATTTATTATTAGCCGATATAAATGACTTTTATATCGGCTAAACATATATACACAACATTTTATTTTTGTAATGTCAATTATTTATCTTATATTTGATCAAATGTATGAAGTATTATTAATTAGTATATAAATATCACGACCGATGCGAAAAGATAGGTCAATGAATTTTTGATCTTAACCATTTAATAGGAAAATGTCGGCTAAAATTGTTCAGTATTTACCAAATATAAATTAATTAATGCTTATTTTTTCTGGAACGTAGTTCATCTACAAAACTAAACCAGCAACGAGTTGCTCAACTTTCCCGGCAACATTTAAAATTTTGGTTGCCCCATCTGTTATCGTAATTTATTAAAAATACTTTTTATATTTTTAACTATTATAAAATGGCAAAAAGCTTAATTTTCTGGGTAGGGAGGAGTTTTATATTAAAAAAAATGTAACAGCTAATTATGAGTAAAATCGTCATTAAGTCGACCCTACTGGAAATACACACTACCCCCATTATCTTTCCACTAAAATTTAATAGCATCAATTCTCCTAATGAACAAACCTCTTTGCAAAATTTCAGAAATTTTCGACAAAAAACACAGGAGTTATTAACCTGTAAAGAGGGTGAACAAAAGCGTGCTCCTCACACACGCACTAACATACAGAAATTACCTATGAATTTTTCTGTATTTCTCGACGTTTCGTAGTCTCGATTACAAAAAAGCAAATATCTTGGGGGGTCATTTTTGACCGATGGCCATACTTTCCAGGCTATTATATATAACAACCAGGAAAGTAATAGTCTATTCAAATCGCGAAGAATAATAATTTAGGTATTTCCAGAGAGAAGAGAAATTATGAATATAAAAATATTTTATATTTTTATAAAGTAATATTGTAAATAAAGTAAATAGTGTTAATATTTATTAACCACTACGGGCTTGAATGTTTTCTTCTTGCTCTGGGGAAATCCCCCGCTACCCCTTCTCTTAATACAACTATTATAACTAAATTTAATAAGTATTAAATAATGTAATCTAAATCTAAGCGACTTCTGAATTTAAAAATTTATTATTTGAAATACAATGAAATAAGTTTCCTAATTTTTATTAAACCGGTATTTTTGTAGATAAAAAAATTAACGAGAATAATAAACGCTAATTTGCTTTCGAAAGTAAATATTTAACTAAACTTTTTCTATTAAAATGATTAAGATGAAGAATTCGTTGACCTAATATTAATAAGTTTTTTGTCGTACTATTTACATTAATTAATAGTAGGCTACTTCAAACATTTGATCAATAATAAGACAAAGAATTGATATTATAAAGATAAAAAGAGTGAAGTAAGAATAAAAATTCTTATTTATATTCGTTAATTATAGACTAAATGTCGACTGAATATCGTTATATTTTAATTTGTTTAGTTCAAGACGTCGATAACCACAGATATTTATATATTGTTAAACACAATGACTGTGTTTAACAACATAATTTGTGTGAAATAGTTCTTTCAGACAAATTACAGTATTTTAAAAATCGCTTTTATTGTGAAGTGCATCCCTTTAATAGGTGATCGACTCCACAATTTTAATATATTTATAAATAAATGTTTCAAATTTCAACAACTTTTTGTCCATCAATTAATTTATAAATTAAGAAATGTAAATTATCTTCATCGATCAACCAGCTTAAAAAACTTAGATTTTTTCACCTGAATTATTTCCTTCTACAAGTCGGAAAATCGACATTTTCCCGATATATCGAATCTCGCTCTAGTCACATGTGTGTCAAGAAAAATATATAAATAAGCCTACAACACACAGTTGTAACAAAGAAGTTAATAGCATCGTCGAATATGGAGCTTTTGCTGTACTTATTCTTATTTACGTTTGCTTTTTCTCCAATTGTTTGTTGGGATGATTCAGCCATGAGACCGGATGATCCGTTTAGCGACGAAGTAGGAGTCATAGACCGATATTGCGGTATGTTTGAATGTATTTAAATAATTTTATTGTTTCCGATTATCGATATGTATAAGGGGGTGTGTAATAATCGAATTATACCATTCTTAGCACTGAGCCCCGAAGGTAAAGCCAACATCCATTTGTGCTTCCTCGAAAACAAAATTAGAATTGTAAGTCTGTCTGATGAAAAGTTTCTCTTAAACATGTAGTTTCTTAATTGTTTATTATTATTATTATTATGTACTATTTAGGTTACCGATATCTATAAAAACTGTATTCAGCAACAGAAATTTTTCCAAACAATAGGAGAAATAGACGAATACCTTTGTAAAATCAGGCATACGTCTCCAAAAGTAATACATTCGAATATCTAAATATAATAATAATTATAATTTATTTATTTAATTAAATATATTTGTATTTACAGCTATTTGCAAGGTTTATTAAATGTCAAGCCAAAGCGAAATATACAGCGAGCTTTGACGATCCCAAATTATATCCTACCGATAGAGTATGTATTAAGTTATAATATTTAACTGTAAAGTATAAAAGCCTTTACTAGATATGAAAATTATACATGATTTTCATATCTAGTAAAGGCTTTTATACCTGACACGCCGTTGATTTTAATTCGTGATAATTAATATTAGAAGATATTGACGATTACAAACGTTTGTAATTTTATTATATTGTCACATTGTTTATATTATTTCAAATTGTAATAATTAACATTATTTCAAATTGTAATAATGTTTACATTGTTTATGTATTAATTTTTTGTTTACAGAAATGCTTTCAGCAAGTAAGAAGTCGTGAAAATAAATCCACATCTGAAATTTCTCTTGACGAACATTTCACCAGAAAATTACTGTAATTTCAATTTAACGATTAAATTTTAACTTATGAATTGGTGTAAATGATTTTAATAAAATTTATATCTTAAATTCAAAATAGTCTGAAATTTTTGATTATTTTATTTTGTAGAATTTTAAATTATTTGTGTATTTATATACATTAGTTGTAATAAATATAAATACAATAAAAATAAGTTTCAAAACACCTTGCAAGAATTTGTGATTTGCGTTAAATTGGAAAGGACATATACCGTTCCTACGTGTAAATGAACCTTAAAATATACTTTTTCTAACATACAACTGTAATGAGCTTTGAATTGAAAATAAATAACTTTTATAAGCAATATAAAAAGACTTTTATAACATTTTCATTGTTTTCAATTGAAAAAAATAAAGATTTAATAATATGTTTCGAAATTTAACTGTAAAATTAAAACATATAGAGACAATAATACCTTTGCTTAACATAAGATAGCGTATATAAAGATAATATACATATTCGTAGTAGTTAAGCAATTATTGATTTAGGATGTAAAACTGTAAATGCAAATGTTAACATATTTGTACGGATTTAATTAATTTGTATAAACAATTGTAAAGTTGTACTTATAAACTGTAGTTTTTAAAAATGATATTCGTTAATAGGACTTTAAATTACAAATAAATAAATTAAATAATTAATTTAAAAAAGTATTAAATCAGGAAGACAACGAGAAATTCTTTTAAATATGTAAATCTTCGATGTATTTAATAAATTATCTGTAGAGTATTTTGACATTCGAAAAACGCGGAAAATAATTTAAAAATAACCAATGTTAAAATAAGTTCTCGAAATTATATAATGAGAATATTTGTGGAGTTTTGATATGTACGAATAGACGAAGGAAGAAGAACTTTTATTGTTTTCTCCCCTCTTCAAGTTGTAGTAGAGAAGAGAATCAATAAATCCCGAAATACATTTTTCTAAATAATAAAGTCTATAAATATCCATCTTTAAAGACTGGTAGCTGATGTATTGAAATTCTTTAAACATATTTATTTGAATAAAGTATAAAATATGGCAACCACGATCAGTTAACTTAATAGGTTCTTGTGATCAGATTACTGTTTTTATTTTATTCAAGTACGGTAATTTTAAATTATATCATTTTTAATGCGCGTACGTTTTAGTGTCAAAAAATTTATTTCCAACACATTCGATTATACTATAATAAGTAAACTGAAAATTAAAATTTAAAAAATAGTTTTTAACCTTTGCTAGTTACAAAAGCACGTCCGAAAAATTTTGAAGCATAGAAAAAATATTTAATTCTATGAATGAAAATGATAGTTTACAGTGGTATAATAATTGGTTGTCTTTCATATGCATTTGGGGCGAAACGGCTCAATTCAAGCTCCGAATGAGGGGTTTTCGACCCCCCCTTTTACAAGCATGAAAGGTGAAGGAACCATACTTCTATATGTGGCCCTGTAAAGAAATTGCTACATCATTTCCGGCCACATGACTCCATGCCCAAAAGGGAACTCAGGATTTTTATGAGTGCGATTTCCGGGTGTCATGGAAGGCTTTGCGGTCAAAAAACTGCGCATGCCCCTTATTTAGCCCTCCGCGCGACTCCCCCTGCCCTCCAACACGGCCCGAACGCCCTGTCTCCTTCTCGCTGGTCGTCTAGTCTGTTGCTTGTAAATACAAATATCATATCAGTTCCAGGATTCGATTCCAGGTCCTCGCTGGCTGCGGTCTACTTCTCTCTGCACGTGGCCACCAGGTAGCTCTGCCAGAACAATATTCGTATTTCAGGCATGCGAGCACGAGAAGGCACTGCGCATGTCGGCCCATTCACGCGGCCCTCCCTTGGCCATAGAGATGCAGCGCGCCCAATAGGGCGCGTGTTGCGAATCACGTGACCGCGGACCCACCCCGAGGTTTCATAAACCGTACGGTCGCCTTCATGCCTTTGCACGCAGTATTTGTTATTGTCATAAAAAACAATGCCGTTTACGTGCGATACAACAGCGTCTCTCGTTTTGGATCTCGCGGAAATATTTCAAAATTTAACATCATACGAATTTCTTCGCTACCTCCCCTCCGAAGAGGCTGCGCATCTTGCAGGGCTCGTGCCACATCTGGACCTAACCGATATCGTGCCGCCGTGCCCTCGTTACGGAGGTAAGCATTGCTTGATTTCCGCTTGTAAAAGAGTGTCGTACGCGGGTAACTGTTTCGAACTTTTCGGTAGAATCTAAATACAGAAACGCGAAACGTAGCGTGAAACTAGGAGAAAGAAACCGCCGATTCTGCGAGCAATTTTCGCGATCGACTGAAATATCACTTTTTGAGATTGCGATTCGCGGACGAGCGGCGTCATGGATCCGTACAGTCATCCGAGTTAAGAAAGCCTTGTTTTGTTTGCAAATGAACTCAACAATTCATTGATATGCTGACCATAGAAGTGATTTATTCCTCGTCATTTTTCTATTTATCGATCGGAGATAGATTATTTGAAAATTTTCCCTCTTCAAATATTCGTCCGCCTGAATAAGTAAAACTTCCTTCGTGTATAAAAATGGTGCTGTTGGAAAAAGCAGAGAACGTTTCTTTTCAAAGCGACGTTTACCAGGCTTACAAAAATGGCGAACATCAAACGTTCCAAATTCTTTTTTAAAAAAACCAAACATCTAAATGAGCACCACCCGATAACATTTTAATTATTCACAACATCCTCCACTTAAACATTGCTCACCAAACATTACGGTATTCAATAACTAGTAATAATAAATACCTAAACATATTAGCGACATAACTCCATAGAAGTTAAGATGCAAGGTGAATAAACGAACGAACAAATTAACAAATTAAATGTCCTTCTCCAAGAAACTTGAGGGCAAGGGTAACAGAGTTGTGCTGGTTGAATTGAGTTTCACACTGCATGACCTTACCACCTGATCTGATGAAAACTTTCACGACACTTCCTAGTTTCCCCATGTTTCTAGCAGAACTATATCCTCGATTTCTAGATGACTCTTTGAATTCGTGGATGGCATACAATTCGGTGATTTCAAGTTCAATAAATAGGCCACGCCTTTTTCTATTCCTTTCAAAATTGATTTAACAAAATCTGCCGATAATTACGTCGTTTACTCATTTTATCTCTATCGGAAGTAATTTTTTTCTTATCGCATTTGACTGATGGTAACGCGGTAAGACGTTTCCCTATGAGGAAATGTGAAGGCGTCAGTGATGATAACTCCTGCGGATCATTACAGATGTACTTTAAAGGTCTCTAATTTGTCGCATCCTCTGTCTCTGTTAGAACAGTGTTAAGATGCCAAAGTCGACGGTGTGAACCATTCTTAAGAATAAGGAAGCAATGAAGACTAAAGGTGTGACAATGTTGACTTCCGGCTTGTTATTGAGGAGATGGAAAAATGTGGATAAATAGGAAGCGATTGGCTTGTGATATCATCTCCGAGAGAATTATTTGTGAGAAAACTAGATCAATCCTCATAGTGACCTTAAAAAATGGAACCTCACCACTTCTCACTAAGTTACAATAAGTGCAATTTTTGTTTTATTATACAGCATTTATCCATTTTATTTATTACTTCATGTTTAAGTTTATTATTTAGAGTGTTTAATTAATTGTGTTATTTTTACCTTAAATTAATTAAATTAAAAATACATTAGTAGTTCTATTGCTATGCTGCAGTTTTATCCTCTAAAACCAGTGTTCGCTAACCTCATAAACTGTGTATTGATTTAGATAGTAAGTAGTCTTGGAGATGTTGGTTCTGTGTTTACTAATTTAAGTAAGTGCGAGCAGTTTTCGTTCTCTGCATTGTTAGCATGCAAAGTAGGTTGATGTGGATGATAAATTTCCGTTTCCATATTGAACAGGTTTCAGACTTATAAAACCATTTTATATAGCAATTCATTCAGTTTCCGTTGTTTTTAGAGCAGTTGTTTTAGGAGCTTTTACAATAGGCCTAGATGTATAAGCTTAATCAAGTTAATATAATGACGATAACCTATAATTAATCCGATTTACCGTAATCGTTTCAAAATATGAACGATAAAGTACTAATGTATATACGGAAACCGTATTTACAAAATTGTTTCCATCTATTTCATCTGATGGCAGGTAGATCTCTGGATAGCTGGAATCTAAGATACCAACGTCAAGATTTACCGATTTTCACGGAATTCTTCTGGTAAGAGATCTAGATTCAAATCCGGATCAGTCCGACTCAAACCATTTTCCATGGACAATTCGATTCCGAATCAATCGCCATATTTGACCTTCGTGCATTCTGTCCTTTGCCTGCCGGCACATTAAGCTGGATATAAGATAGACACGTTTACAATAAATGTCCTGTTCTGAAATTTGGAAATGGCTATTCCATTACGGGCTTAACCAAATCCGCGTTGGGCATGTACATTAAAGTTACTTCTAGAGCCGCAGGACGGAGGGAGTTAAAATAAAGCCGATGAATGTTTCAAATCGGATCTCCATTTAAGCCCATTATTATTGGCTTCACACAACACACCAGAACGCAATGAGCGAGCCGAGTGGAACCGAACCGATACAAAAAAGCAAGGAAATCTTAATGGCAAATTTCACTTTGTACCGAAAAATTATCGTTTATAATTCAAAATTTAAGATTAAATTAGTAAATATATTTTAATTATAATAAATTAATTTTTTCCTGTGTATCAATATAAATACCATTACACAATAAATATAAATACGTTTTTAAAATACATCAATAGATGGCGGTAGTTACATTCGTAACTGTAATACTTATCGATCATTTGATTAAGATTGGCAGTGACTGACACCCGGGAGCTCGTACAGATAATTAAAATTAATTATCATCGATTATTACGTTACTCCTCGTCACCTTTAATGATGTTATTGATTACTCGAAGCAAGTGGAGCGGCACGCAAAGTTAATTGAACGACACCCGACTATGGAATTACTGTATACGAAAATCGCTACGTCATAAACACTAGCGATTTTATCGTGCGCG